GTCTTTGGCTGCAGGTCACCCCCAACCCCCACCCAAGAGGCCATGACCCGAGGCAAGGAAACCCTCCTGCTTCAGGAAGGGTTTTAGCAAAAAGCCCTCAGCTTCCTACACTCTTCAGAGATGAGAAAACGAATGAGTCTTGAAGAAGATAATCAAGGCAGTACACCACAGGTCATCTCAGTCTATTCAGAGTCAATTGATTTGTATGATATATTCTGAAAGTATCTCCTTCCCTCTTCCCTCCCTGTCCCAAGAACATGTACAAAGAAAAGGCCTACAGTCTCTTCTGTTGGGCCATTCTTAGGCTAAAATTGATACTCACCTTCTCTTTCCTAATACCCAGAACTTGTTCTCTTCCTCAGCTAGGACCTCTGCTGGTCTTGGTGGCTGACATAGTGAGGTGACCCAGAACTTGGTTACTCTACCCTTTATGAGCCTATTATTACATTTGTCAATTTAACATCAGCACAGGGCTAGGGAATACCAAGTTGCCCCTGGACCTTCAAGTGCCAAATAACTGCCTGCATAGTATTAGAGCATTGTATAATAGCAGCTGAACCGCTTAACAACATAGGTCTACAAGGGTTCCATTGCCCAATGGGAAGGGTCACTTGCACTATAGTCTGGACATGCTGCACAGACCTTCCTGTTTCCTGTACCAACCTGGGCCCAAGATCACACAACTGTTGAGTTACCAAACTATCTGGGCTTCAGTTATTTCTGGAAAAATATGCATGTTTTTTACTGGTTTGTGAGGGTTAAATAAATTAAGGTATACAAGCATACCCTGTTTAGTACCCAGCATGTAAAAAACCTTTTAACAATAAATTTTTATATAAATTTACATATCTGTCATGACCAACTTGTCATGATACAAGTTTATATAACATGCTCAGAAAAAAAACAGGACTGTTATTTAGAATTTTATCTTTGGCACCAGACATGGTGGTGCACCTCCGTACACCCAGCAACATGGGAAGCTGAAGCAGAAGGATCCCAACTTTGAGGCCAGCCTGGGTAACTTAATGAGACCCACAACAACTAAGTGAGACCCTGTCTCAAAATAAAATATAAAAAGGGTTGGGGATGAAGCTCAGTGGTAAAGCATCCCCTGGATTCAATACCCAGTACTAAAAAAAGAACTACTGAGAACTTTTATCATTTGCTATTGTAATTAAGTCGATTTTCTTGATTTGCTGTAACAAAAATGTAAAATCCTTCACCATGCCATATTTAAAAAAAAAATAAAGCTCGATCTGAGAGGAAGTTAAAACCCAGGTAAATAAACTTTATCCAATGGGATACAGGGGCCATTGGATCAATATTCTCTTCTACTCCACATTCTGAGGTGTGTTTTACATGGTTCCTCAAAAAATTCCTGGTAGGATCAAGCCTCAGTTACCTGCAGAAGTGATTAGCTCATTAACTCACCATTGAACTGGCTTTTCATCCTTCCCTATATGATTCTTCCTAGTCCTCACCTTTTTTTTTAATTTAAAAAATATATATTTTTAGTTGTAGATAGACACAATACCTTTATTTTATTCATTCATCTTCATGTGGTGCCGAAAATCGAACCCAGTACCCTACACATGCCAGGTGAGTGTTCTACCACTGAGCCCCAAGCCCAGCCCCCACTCTGTTTCTTAAGATCAGAACCCAAAATACACTATCTGCAAGGAAGATCTCAGGCTGTATTGTTTGTGGGAACTCAAATTAACATAATACCAGAAACGGCCCAAGAAAACAAAGGCTCAAGATGGACTTCTGGACTTGGATCACTCTCTAGTTACCCCACAACTGGATGATGACCCCTGGTATGCTTTCATTGGTGACAGATCTGAAGCAGAAGTGGAAGGGAAGCATTGGCTTATGTGTAAAAGAACAGCACTTAAACAGTATGGGGAATGGTAAATGTAAGGATTGTGAGGACATCTGCTTTCCAAAACCAACTTCAGGCACCTTAAAATAATAAAATGTTGGGCTCAAATTAGCCAACAATAAATGAAGGTATACTATGAAAGTCAGAATGTATCCAAGACTATTTAAAGACCATTATTCCAGTGGCTATATTCCAGGGCAAAAAAGTATTAAAGACCAGGCTTAGGATTTTCACATCAGGAACAGAGCCCCTAAAAATACAGGCATGGTTTTCAACCCTGTCTATTCAAAGCAAAAGCCCAAGATCTAAGATGGGAAACTTTGGAAATGAAAATAGGAGAAGCTTGCCTCCCCAGATATCCTTAACCCTCAGGGCCCTTGCCCTTGCTAAAAGAAACCTCTCCTCGCCTAGATACGAGGCAAAGTTCTCACCTGGAGCAGATGCCTCACAAAATGCTTGTCTTCCTTTAGCTTCACCCCAACCTGCTTCTATTGATTTGAGACCCACAATAGTCACATCACAGCATAGCCTGAGCAAAGGACTACAGTACCTACACCAGAAGAAAATAGTTTACTCACCCAAAGAACTCTAAGATCTGGGCCAACACTAACTAAAAACTAAAGAAACAAGTGAAAATGGATATTCAAAGTGTGGGCTAAGGGACTCAAATAAGATTGCACTGATATGGTGGCACTCTATAGAGTCAAGATATAAAGTCTTAACAAGCAGGTGGCAGAGTACCCCTGAGCCCAATCCCCAGTACTGCAAAACGAAACATAAAACTTGGTTCCCTGGGAAGCAACCTCTAAGATGATTAGTGGGAAGGAAATGCTCAGTGAATACTCTTGGAATCAAAACCTGTGAAAGAAAAGGAAAGGAATGGGGGTTGGACTGAGAGAATTTGGGCAGGACAAGCAGTCTCAACAAAAGTAGCCTAGAAAATGTGAAAATAAGATGGCTTATCAGAGTTACGAAGATGGGCTAAGCCTAGAACTTTCTAACCACACGTGCCCAGGCATTGGACATAGGCTGCTCCAAGGAAGAGGTCATTCTGGCCTTATGATGCTATTATACAAACACTTACAATATTTGCATAGAAAAGCAGAATTGCTACTACCTGATGGAAGGGAGGAAGAACCATGTCTGGAACCCAGGGGATTCACTGGGCGTCTGTTGGTTCTTTCATGTTTGTGAAAGAAACCATAATCTAACAAGTGAAAAATATCTTGTGGGATGAAGGTATGGCATCCAATCTCAGGGAAGTAACAGAAAGCTACTGACAAGCTAGTACATAGCTGAGTAGATTCTGGAATGCATGATGTTAAAAGGAAGGTGACACATTAAGCACATCCAGAGAACTAGCTGTAGCAGTGGATTACTTTGGTTCCACCACTACTAGTCTATTTTTTGTTCAGATACAGCACATTGCAACCTAGAAGACTGATAAAACAGGCCCAAACAGATCTCAAAGGTACAAAAGGTAGTGTATCAGACTCATGCTCTTCTACTCCCTCTCAGCTCATTCCCTGTTCTCACCATTGCCAATCAGATGTACACAGGTATAACTTACAGCACTTTGCCTTAGCCACATCAAATGTTTTCCACTTTCTATACCCCCAATACCATTTCTCCATTATCACTCTCTTCGACAACTGCAGAATCTAAATGAATTTGGTATATGCACAAATGTGGGTGAGGGAAAGGAATTATTGCTTTAGAAGTAACCCTTGTCTCATGGGAAAAGTCCACAAATACATTCTTTTCCCATCCCTGATGACAACAATGTAAAGGAACATTCTATTCAGCTCCTGAGAGGGTCCTTGACAAGCTTATGTTCTTGTTAAATGCAGATCTGATTAGCTCAATATACACACCATTGGTTTTGCTTTCTCTCCTTCCTGATTTCATTCGTCCTAGTCTTCATTCTTTCTTGGATCACTTACCCAAATAAATTACCTCCGTGTAAGCCCCTGTCTTGGCCTCTGCTTTTTGAGAAGCATATCATAAGATTTAGGTTCTAATCTCCATTTTACTAATGAGCATGTTTTGCCCAGGTTTACAGTGAATGCAATGCCCTCTCTCAGAAGTATCAATATATGGAAGTTATCTTGAAACCTTGACTTTATAATTCACTTTGCAGGTGACTCTGCTTTTGGGAAACTTCTTGAAGGTTGGCAGCATAATGACTTCCATGAAGACAAGGTTTTAAGATCAGTGATAGGATCTTATTGAATCCTTAGCTAAAAGGCCAAGTCAGTAAGCATGAAAGTTTCAGTCTCCAGATTTCTTATACGCCAAAATAATCCAAGCATTTATTAAGATGGTTAGCTCAGTTGTTTATAAGATTAATGTTCTGAATCACACTACTTATTTTTCACTTGAATATTCCCATAGCTGGATTTCTAATTATTTCACTGTGACCTCACTTCTCACCACCCACTTTCCAAAATCCTAAGATTTAAAGATTATCTTTACTCTAAAACATCTCAGCATCTTGTGTGATATGAGTATTTAGAAAGTAATTTGTGGAGGTCAGAGACCCTGTCTTTATATCACCTATAGCATTTTTTTTTCATAGAATATAACCTAAATGTTTGTTGAATGAATTTATTCTAGGTCTTGGAGAGCCTAAGCTGCTGAGTTTGGGCAATACTGGTAACTCAGATGATTTGCTGGTTGTCTATCATTCAGGATAGGCCAAATTTATGCCCTCATATCATACTGAGACTGTTGTTTCTTACTCATACTACATGTCCAAAAGTCAGCAGGGAGTTCTGTTCAGTCACTGAAGGATCTAGAATGAGAAGTTCAATCTCAACATATGTTCTCATGATCAATAAGGCACAAGAAAATGCATTACAACAAATTACATACTGCATCTCCAAGTTCCACCCAAATGACACGTCCCTTTGATTGGATTTCCTATGGCAAAGCAAGTCACATAACTTCAAAATCTATTCTAAACAAAGTATGTATGTAATTTTCACCAGAAAAAAAAGTACCATGAATTTGTCATCATTTTGTCTAAATTCCTTTGGCTCCCTAATTTATAAGAGAAGTACCAAACTAAAAATAGAAACTTACACTGCACAAATAATCAAAAACCAAGACAAAAGTATGCAGTTGCAAAATGGCCATTTATTGCCTACAGGGGAAGGAAAGGGAGGGAGAGAAGGGGAAGTACACAGGTGCAAGGAAACAAGCATATATTTAGCCCTATACATCATGTGTGAGCAGTACCCAATCTCCAAAATGGAAAAAAGTATTTTGTCATCTGACATAGTAGTTAAGATTCTTAAGCACCTCCCTTCTGAGCTGCCACAAGATTTAAAAGGCAGGACTGCTTTGTTTAGTCAATGTTCACATTAATGAAAAAATACTACCACCCAACTGTGTTCTTTTGCACGCACATTTTGTACAGCATCTATTGTGAAAAAACATCTCAGCTGAGCAGTTAGGTCAGGATTCAGACCTCATCAACTGTTTAATAAATAGAAAAATAAAGCAGCTGGTGATTTGTCAGAGAGAATGTGTTCAATAAGAGTAGAACCACTTTCTCCAGGGATGACAGAGTGTAAAATGTTTGGAACACCACAGAACCAGTCTATTAAACATTAAACACTAGCAAGCTACAATTACATGGCACTTCATTAAATCCTCTAATAAAAAAAAAAACAACTTAGGATTTTAAACTGATTATTGGAACACAATAACAAGTTGATTTAGTGCTTGGCTTTTTCTTAGGACAAAGCAAATACATAAGCTGAAACAATTTGTTTTAGAATATTATTAATAGAAACTAACAAGTATTCAGGGAAAAAAATTACCCAAACACCTTGCTCAGTTTTAAAATCATGTGCTTTGCTTTCCGATCATTAGAATCAGTTACAAAAACACTATAGGCCACAGAATGACTCGAATGTATGCAAAACAATGAATTATTTAGTTCCAGGTCATGAAAATAAATGAACCCCTCTCTACTCCAATGGTAAATTGAGTAGAAGAGTATATAGTCCCATGGACAATTAGTTGGCACTTATTATATAGCTGAAATAAATCACAATAGAAGATATAAATTAAGAAAAATAGATGATATAAATTAATTCATGGTGGAATGGACCAAACACCCTGGCCCTTCCAAAGAGAAAAGGTACACATTCGCTTTAAAAAAAAAAAACAAAGAAAAAAACCCCACCCACCTCTATACTATCCTACTTCAGAGACAACAAAGTTGAAAAATTCATCTTCCTTGAAACATTCCAAGTACTCCTACTTAACTCTATACCTCAGCTTCTCCTAGGTAAAAGCAGTGTTTGCTTTTGGACAACTGTACGAATGCCCATGGTGCACTTCTCAGTGCTGCTGGTGTTTAAGAAATTTGCCACTCACAACACTGATTCCAGATCCAGTGTGCAGTAACACAGCCATCCAAACCCCTCCCCTCAAAAGCTGGCAGAGCACCGCTCAGGAATTTCACAGGTAAGGGAATACATTTTTTAGTAAGTTGAGCACAGAGAAAGGACAGTACAGTTTCTAAATAAATAGAAACCCAGATACTGCATCACTTACTGCATCAAAATTGACACAAGTAGCAGGAGATACTATGTCTGTTCAGTACGAAGCAAAGCCATGGTTTGACACATCAACACGGAGCCAATTTTGTAAGTTCAGATAACTATAGGCAAATTAAATATGATTATATAAATATGATGGCTTAAAGAAAATGTATTGGTACTTTGAAATTAACACAAAACTGAAATAAGCAAGGACCATTTCTGAGAGGGCTACCATGATTCTTATGCTTTCAAGTTAAAACTGACAAACGGTGAAATTATCTAAATTCAGGGAGACTGCTATAACCAAAATAACTAGTGATAAGCGACAAATTATGCCTTCTGAAAGATTCTGAAAGCTAAATGTACCATGCCAAAAGAGTCATATCACTTGGCATTTATTTGCATACCCTGTCATATTGTGATTTATTTCTGATGACACTTCGAATTTCAGTTTAATGTTATTGTTTGTACAATGTGCCATTAAAAAATTAACATTTAATACACATGTCCTTAATTCATATGTTTTAACACTAAAAGTTATTTAACTTAGAAATGCTCTATCACTTCCATGTCATGTTTATTGAATGAAAACCTCAACATACTTGTTTTCCTTTGGTTCCAAGAATAATCCAAGTCTAACCAAACTTATGCCAAAAGAAATTACTTACTAGGTTAATAAAGCTTGCTTTTCCTGCTTTTCTTTCTTTCTACAGGCCTTTTGATTTAAGATAAATTTTCATAAAGAAGCGATTTGGTAAAAATAAGAAACATGCATGCTTCTTAATACCTTCCTCAAAACTGCCAACCGTCTTTCAAGAGGTTCTTGTTCAGAACATCCTGCAGTACAGATATAAGGGCTTTTTTACCCTTAGCTGTTGGTGACAATTCTGAAAGATGCTCTGGGCATCCTATTGAACAGATTATAACTTTGGTAAATGCACCAGGTTAAAGATGCACTAGTTAACTATATCTGAAGTTCAATTTGATGATCATGATACTATTATAAAATTAAAATCCCAAAGCAATCATAAGCATAAAAGTTCCCATCTGTCTACAAATTCAAAACTTTAGTTGAAGTTCCTGGCTTAGAAAAATAATTCTAACTTCTTTAGTTAATCTGCTACCTATAATTCAGAGTCCTATAAACATGATACAATTCAAAAGGAAAGGGGGGTAAACACATCTTCAACACATTAGAAAGGTGTTTTCTTTTTTTAAAGGTGAGGGGAGGTGTGAGAAAACCTTACAAATGTGAGAATTCACATTTATGTCAAACATGAGTTATTTGAAAATGTGCCATAAAGCTTCTGCTAGCCATAAAATCATTCTGTAACAAAAACTGATCATGATTTCTGTGACTGAAGCTACTATCAGTCAACATATTTTGCAAAGCTATTAAAATATCTCAAATTCAGAATATAAAAGCTAAGAATCAAATAAGTATTGGGACACAGGCAATTTTTAACAATAGAAAATCTAGCCTTGTATTAGGAATGACAAATTATATGCCTCCAGTTCCTTCAAAGAACATATACCTCCATGTGGTTTCTGTACTCGTTGCTATTTGATATTGAAAGAAAGGATCACATCAGTGATTTTAGAAATTCTTGGAAATGCAGACTTAAATTTTCAACCATTTAACAATATATACTTAGGAGACAGAATTTTTAAATAGATGTTTGCCCATGTTCCGGTTTTAATGTGCCACACCCTCAATTCTAATGTGATCTGCTATAGAATCAAGTGATATGAGCCTTAGATATCTTTCAACCTTCTCCCTTGCTTCTGTGATTTAATATATAACTCTAAGACACAAAAATAGGAGCAAATAAGGAACAGAGTTTTATATTTCTGCAAACTACAACACTAAAACACAGTGGCTTTTTTAATACATTCACACAGGATGCTTATTAGTAAAATTAAATATCTGCCTATGAATATCAGAAAAGTAATTTGAAAAAAAGAGCTTGGAACAAGGCAAATGGGAGGGGGAAAAAGCTGGTCTCAGAACCCATTGTGCCATACCTGACTTTAACATGTGATATTCAAACGAACGTTCACACGCCTCACATCAAAGAAATAAAACAAAAATATTCAGCTATGTTGTACAAAATTTTTTTTACATAAAACATCATAAATCTTGAACAGATTTACTATATCTGAATTCTAAAAAGTTGCCTATAGAATGGTGCTGGGATTCTGTTCTCTGCTTGCTTTTAGGCAGTGCTGTTGCTTAAAAGTTGACACCAGGCACAATATTTTAAAACAAAGTCAACAAGCAAGGAGCAGTAAGTGGATTTGAGCCTTTTCCAGATGTCAGTCCTGAGGATGCTGCAATATTCCCCATCAAAATGTGTAAAGCTATGAGGCGGATATTGATGCCTGAGAGAGTGGGTGACTTGACATGCACTTGTATGACTGTTATAATGGCAAACAGTGCAGTTTTCCCTTCCTCAAACACTGTTTTAATAAATTTAAAGAACACTCCAGTTCCCAGATAAATATCAGGAATCATATTTAACAATTTAAAAGAAACATATCACAATCGAAAAATGCCCAAAATTTCTCTTATCTTCAGATAAAATATGCAGCAGTTCAATGGTATAAAGCTTAACTTATTCTGAAAACTAGAAAGTATATGAGCCTATATATTTTGCTTTCATTGAACATAAACTACTGTATGTCATTCACCTCTTCCTTTTGGCTTCTCACTGCCAAAGTTCCAAATGGCATGCGTTTTAACAAGACAATGCTGAGGATAGCAGCATTTCTGATCACCTGAATTGGCAGCTCAAAACAGATACCACTCCTTTTACAAAGGGAACAAAGGGTGAAGGGTGTGTGAAATTTGGGCAATGGGCTTAAGGGAAACCGTGCACATGAAATTTGGGTCACCATGCCCCAAGTGTGTGTGCCACCCAAAACAAAACACAATTACCTACTTCAACAGAGCTACTACCAACATTTACTAAAACCACATTTAAAATACACAGGATAATGAATGGTTTGAAAGAGTGCATTTGGAAGCAGAGAGAACCCAATTACACACCTTCCTGCAACAGAGTGCCTCAATCATACACAAAATAAACTTAAGCTGTTTACAATGTTTCCCAATTTTTTATTTTTCCCTCTACATTTAACTATTAAAAAAGGGTTTTTTTATTAATAAATGGGCTCCTCTGTGGTTCATATACAATCATAAGTGAACTTTAAATTCCATTTTATACAAACATCTCAAAAAATATTGGGAGTGAAGTATGGTAGGAAATATTGCTCACATTGCTAATTAACATGCGTATAATGAAAGGAGGAAAATATTTTGTTAGTGCATATACCTCCAGAGCAGAAAATCCACCCAAAAAAAAGATCTAAAATAAAACATACAGTAGCCGATTACAAAAAAAGGTAATGTCCACAAAATTAAGTTTTTCATGCTATTCTACTTTCCAGTACTATGCTTCAGGTAATCAATTTGCATGGCTAGATGTTGGATGCTTGAGGTATATAAGAAGGGATACCTGTACATTGAGGAAAATCTGTCATCTTAAGAGTTGTTTCTTTTTGTTTATTCTGGTACTTTAACATTTTCAAAAGCATATTTTATTTACATCAAACTTCACTGAACTACAATGACATTCGAATTATAGCAGATGACAAACAACGCCTCTATCACTAGGCACTTTTAAAAGGGAGTTTAGGCTTTACAGAACCCTTCTGATGCAATCCCATATATGATATTACATCATCCCACCACCCTTGTCCCACTAAAATTACCCTTCAGGGGATATATTATCTTATATAGCCTGATTAATTTACTATGGAAGAAATTAGTATAAAATGACCAAAGGAAATGCATCATTTAATAATAAAACAGCCTAAGATGTCAGGTTTGAAAGAGGAGACAAATTGTATATATTTAAAACTAATTAAATAATTTAAATTTGACTTGTACTTTATATATTAGTGAGACACAAATATAGGCTATTTTCTTTTAAAATTTCATTCACATAATGGAAAATTTCTCATTTATTAAAAATATCACATTTTGAGACTAGAAACAGTAAAGTGCATGAAAAGTCTTAAAATATAAATTTCAGAAAACTCTTATAGCAGCAAAAAAGCAGAATAAAGAAAAACTTAAAAACACAGACACAACCTTTTCCTGTTACTGTGCCATAATTAACATCAAGTAGCCAACCAATTTTTCCCCCCAGAAAACGAGATATTACGTTCACTGCCTCTTGAGTCACAGATTTTCAACTGGCTCCTCCTGGATATTAAAAAAAAAAAAAAAAAAAGATTCCAACATATCTGAAGGCATCAACAGTTGGGAATAAACCAGTAGCTTTTTAATTCAACCCTGACAGACAATGGAAACAAAGATTAAAAGCATATGATGGCCATTTGGCAGCTAGAGTCAGGAAAAAAAATGATCCAAGGTTTTCAACTACTGCCCAAAATCTGTTCTTTCTCCCCCTCAAATCCTTTCTATTAGTAACCTCAATCAAAACCAACAACCATTTAACCTACTTTGGGAAACACATGAAATATCTGTATGGCTTTCCCTTTCTGAAACTTTGATCAGGGTCTTTTTTCTCAGCAGTTTGTTTTATAAATATTTGATTATAAAGGCAAAATGATGTTATCTCTTTTTCCAGTATAACCAGATAGAAAACAAGGATAAGTAGGTAATGAAAAATAATGGACACTAATTTTGTGGGCATCCTAAACACACCAAATTCTATTTTCAAGATATATGGCAGTATAAATTACCTGCTGTTGCCCTATAAATAAACTAGAGATAGGCTTAGAATACTTTTAAACAGGTTATAACTAATATTAGGGACAAAAATAACAGAGTGATTTCTCAAAACAAACCAAAACAAAACAACCAGTGTTTAGCCAACAAACTGTCATGTGCTGTTAAATGCTTGATTCTGAAAGCATACTGTGCAATCATCTTTTAATTTCTCAAATTTCTTATTACAGCTAGAGGTTATATCATAGTTTATGTACAGATCAAGCAAATTTAAGTGCTTTGTTAATGTGCAAATGACTTGGGGAGCCAAAAAATTGGTCTGATATAAAGGAAAACAGAAATTCAAAAAAGTTTTCCCTGGAAGGCATGCCATCATTCAATTTAAAATCTTATATTTATAGTTTAAAAAAATTGCCTTTTACAAAATCAACTGGCTCATTTGAAACCATTCAAAAGAATGTATTCGTTTTTTCAAAACAAATGCATTGTTGCTTGGCCTCAAATAGGTGATTAATCAATTATGAATGCTGACTCCTAATATAATATGAAGAAAATCCAATTTAAAAACACGTTAAATTAAAATTTTGGAAAGACAATAATACTTTGGTTCCAGCCCTAGTGCCAAATGATATCAATATGCACAAAAATGTACAAAGTCTTATAGCAAACACATAATGAAAGGAACCTGAAGAAGCAGCTTAAGGATGGCCATACTTCACTCCTACATACTTTGATTTACAACTATACAGGTCCATAGCAACAGATCCCCGTCTTTGCGGGGCAGTACTCCACTACCTCCGATTAGGCAAGTGAACACCATTGACAAGAGGCAGGAGTGGAGGGTGGAGTTCAAGTTGTGTTAACAGTGAGAAGTGGTCTGAAGGGATGTGAGGGTGTGGACACCCAGTGATGTTGTTCTCAACCAGCCATTGAGGATCTAAAGGCCCCAGGACACCAAGCACGTTCATATGAGTCTTGGAATAGAAAATGTAGTCAATCACGCCCTAGAAAGAGATTGGGGGTTGAGAGTAGGGGGGAGAAAAAAGAAAAATGTTTAGATAATAGAAAAACTCTATGTAAAGAAAACTTCATAATTTATAAAAGCAAAACAAATAATCTTTACTTCTGAGAGCTATTTTACTGCAGGATCAAATAAGGTTCAAATCTTCAATGGGTATTACATGAAACAGAGCATCCTAGTGAATCATAAAAACTCCCATGTGTGAATAAGTGATAAACTAAGGAGCTACAATACACACTAAATTATGTCTAGGTATTTTTAGAATTGTCCTGCTTGGTTTTTAGTGAAATCTAATACTTATCAGTATAAATGTGGAAACTGTACTGTTATAGTAAGTGGGAAAATAAGAACAAGTATAACAATATATAGCTAGCACACAGCTAACTATTCTAATTTCCACAAACCCTGATACACAATCATTTCTAGATTTTCTTACTATATAAGGATATCTAAATAAAAAATATTTGACAGGGACCCAAATATATCAGTTGTATCTCTCAGAGCTAGATGATTTGTCTGATCAGTAAATCTCAAAGAGTAGTGTGCTTGATTGTCCCAGGCTGTGAATGCAAGATAACAAATTCACATTTTTCCTATATGGTTCCTGTCTAAACCAAGAGAACATAAACCCAAATAGAAAAAAATATATATATTTCTACAGTTGAAAGTACCTATTTACAAATACTATACATAATAATGGTATCTACTAAGAGATTCTAGAAACCATGACTTTAATTTGCCAATTTTCATATAACCAAGACCAAAATAATTCTTTTGAGAGAAAAGACCTTATCTAACCTTACTTTACCATAAATTAAGGAACCTAGGAGGACTTCTGTCATTAATGCTTCAAATCCAAATAGTCTAGAAATTATATAATGACAAGGTATTATTCCCTCATTTTGCTTAATGTCTGGTTTTATAGATATATTTCAGAAAAAGAGTTAACAAGGGCCAGGGTGGCTATACCTCCCCTTTGAGACCACCCTTTGCTTCAAACAAGAAAATAAAATACTAAAATAAACTTTTCCTCCTCTAAGTTGCTCTTGTCAGGTATTCTGGTCACAATGATAAAAAAGCTGACTAAAAATGCTTTTAGATTGGGAGTATGAGGGACCAGTGAGGAACAGCAGTAGGTTTGAATTAAACTGTTTATTAAACTTATTTGGTCTGTAAATAATGCTAAGAAAGAAGTAATTCTCCTAACAGCTATATTTCAATTCACTCCAAACCATTTCTAGATAAAGGGACTGGATTCTAAATACTTATTCAGTAACCAAGAAAGTAAACAAATGCTCAGCCAAGTAAACAAAATTAAATAACATCTCAGTGAAGCAATGGCAGGACACTATTGTAGGATCTGTATTTAAAGTTGATCACAGGAGACTTTATATTTGGTGTTAATCTCCTTTTTTATTGACTTTCTTCAATATTGGGATAGAATTATATAAAATCCTTCATATAAATCTGCAATGTTTATTGTTCATTCTTTCTAGTCAGAAATGCCCTTATTTCATTCTCTAAGCATCCTTCCTTCTATCCCATTCTACACTCTCATCCCATCTATCTATTCAGCCAGTCTACTTATCTACCCATATATATGCCTCTTTTCCACTCATTTCTAACTCTGTTCTTCTATTTCATTACTCTCCAAGCCAAGCATTTCTGGTAGTTTAACTGTACTCATTTAGCCAGTCTGAATGTTGATTTGATTATTAACATCCATAATAGATTCTGAAGAAATTTTAACAAAGAATTTTAGACCAATTCAGATGATTGAGGAAGACAGCTTAGATTGATAGCCAAATTTTGTTTCTCTGATTTTTGCTTTTGAATAAGAAAAAAGTAACTTTCAAAAAAAAAAAAGGAAGAAATAATATCTGTTCTCTTTTACTTATATTCATACCAAAACATTAACAGTTGTAGAATTATTGAACACTTCATTGGAGAAATTTTATTACAGGATTTCTGGGTTATACTAGCAGATTTATCATTATAGTTAAAAGGATAGGATTTAACCTATAGTAAACTATCATTAAATATAGAGGTGTTTCTTTAAGCTTACACTGGTGTGCCTGAAGCCAGCTAGTACCAACTTTATTAGTACACCTTCACAACACTGCATTCAAAGGTAGCATTCTGGGAGCTTGGAATATGCTTTAGCAGAAGCATTTAAACCACAGAAATCAGCAAACTCTACAGATCAGGGCTTCTTTTTCCAAGAAATATTTACCAGCACATCATTGCATATGAGTGATTAAAACAAAATGAACTATCACTGGATAGAATTATCTAATAGGAAAAATACCAAATTAGACTCAACTTCTAAGCAGCTTTTCCCCCAACTTCCTGATTACAAAAGCTGATAAATAATTTGTTTTCAGGAGCAAACACTAAAAATGAAAAAAAAGGCTACTGGAGTTGTGAAAAAGCCCACAAATTTCCTTTGGTATTGTATTAATCCTCTCATGGCTGCTTATACCAAAACACTTTCTAAAATCTTTATTTTTTCAGGATAGTATATTAGTATAGACACCTGAAATGCCAGAAAATAAAATAGGAACAAAATAAGAGCTAAAGGGAGACAAAGTGATTAGAAAATAGGCAATAAAAAAGGGATTAACTATAGAAAGCCACCATGATCAATCTCTTTAAAGAACAGCTGGCCCTGTACAATAGTCTTTAATTTCTTTTTCTTATTTTGCAAAAACTGTCTTTTTCCTTTTTAAAGATGGAGTGTTCCAATGTATGGGAATATATTGGTATGACTAAATGGATATAAGATGTTATGTGTAACCTATAACCCCTTCTTTAAAAGAAACCTAGAAATTTTAAAGATAAATATAAATGGAAAGTACTAAGAAATTTTGTTATTGAACATCATATAAATCCATTCAAAATAAGTTTAGGGGCTGGGATTGTGGCTCAGCGGTAGAGCACTTGCCTAGCACGTGCGAGGCCCTGGGATCGATCCTCAGCATCACATAAAAATAAATAAAGATATTGTGTCCAATTGCAACTAAAAAATAAATATTAAAAAAAAAAGATAAGTTTATAGTCCAGTATGTTAAACATGTCTGGAACATTGTAAACATTTCAGAAGTGTTTGTTATCATCAGTATTATTTGAAATTTGAAAAAATAAAGATTAAAAAACAAATTGTTAAGACAATAACTACCACAAACCTATCAAAATTCCTTATATTTAGATGTATACTTAGACTTGACATTTTGAGAATCTAAAAAAGTAAAGATTATAAAATCAATTTTAAGTACAGAAATTATACTTTTCTTGTCACAAGTTTACATTTGAAATACTTTCAACACCAGCACATAGGCTGCTACTCACTTTGAAATCAAAGGTGTAATTGGTGTAAGGCATCAAGTTATTTTCATAGGCGCTCTTAAGTTGGAAGCCATGTGTAATTCTCCCTTCTGAGCTTCCATTTTTTCCATTGCAGCTGAAGTTCATAAGACACTCATTGTACCTTAGTTCCTTGAAATCTTTATGGTTGTCAGCTACTCCTCCATTGCTTAAATATTCCACAACACCTAGCAGAGTAAAGAAAGGAACAGTACCAGTTAGCATTTAGTCCTTACACAAGTCTTTAACAGTTAAGACCTGTAGCCAGGTAGCTATACCAGGTTCAGAGTCTTTTTATTAGGTTTTGAGTCATATGAAACCATCTTCTTTATTATTAAAAATTTTTTAAGGATATTTGCTTATTTCAGAACAAAGTATCCAGATTACCTAAAACAGCATTTCTTAATAGTTCCTTCAGCTTTATATGATTTCAAGGATCTAAGCAACATTTACCAGGATGATCTTGACCTTAAGTGTTTTGGGAATATTATTCTAAACCTATCTATCTCTTGAATATTTTCCTATTCTACACAATCAACAACTTTGGAAACATAAAATATAGCATATGTAATAAAAAATAATTTAACAAAAACATTTCACATCTTCAACATTTCAGTGTCTAGTGTCAACTAGACAACATCATTATTTTGAGCTAGCATGAGTTTTCTCAGCCTGACACTACAAAGATTATTTATATGCCACAGACATATTATTTGACCAAATTATTAGGTGTATCTAAAAAGATGAATAGAATTCAGAAAGTACAGTTTCCAGTACATTAGTAAACATGAAAAAATTATCACAACTCTTATGATGATAATTAGTAGACACTAATATTAGAGTCCTCTCTTCCTATTTGTGATCAGGAAGATAGCAAGATACAATGAAGAAGTAATTAATGTAATATCAGTATCAAAAAATTATCATTTACCTACTATTTATTATATGCCTATCTTAAGTGCTTTACAAACTTAAACCTCACAAACAACAACTCTATATGGTATATGTAAAATGATTATTTTCTTATTTAAATTTGAGAAACTTGATCACAGACCACACTGTTGGTTAGTGGCAGAAATAGGATTACAACCTGAAAGTCTCCACAGTCAACTCACTATGATTGGCTGACAAATGACAGTAACTGGCTTAATGAAATCAAATTAAATAGGAGAAAAACTTGTATATCAGAGCAATTCAACTCAGAGGATTAAAAAAAGGAGAGTGTGGTTAAGGTGCCAACTGGCCTATTGGTCATAAAACATGTGTAAATAAAGATTTCAGCATTTATTTTCTAAAAGAGAAAGATGTTTAGTGACTTTTTTTAAACATTCCAAATATAGGCATTTGGGTTGTTTTATGTTTATTGTTGGCTGCTTTTTAATAGCCTAATAATAATGATAATATACAAAATTTAGAATATGCTTTGGAAATAATAAAAAAGTAATACCTTAATGTTTTATGTTTGACATTTAGCATCTAAAATAGAAAACTGAAGCCTGGAATCATGGTGCTTGCCTGTAATCTCGGTAACTCAAGAGCTGAGGTAGGAGGAGCACAAGTTTAAGGTCAACCTCAGCAACTTGGCAAGTTTGCGCCTCAAAATAAAAAAATAAAAAGGGGGCTGGGGCTGTAGCTCAGTGGTAAGGCACTTGCCTAATATGTGTGAGGCACTGGATTCGATCCTCAGTACCACATAAAAATAAATAAAAAGATACTGTGTGTTCATCTACAACTAAAAATTAAAAATGGTCTAGGGATATAGCTCAATACTAAAGTGCCCATGAGTTCAATTCCCAGTACCAAAATAAACTTACTTACTTACTTAACTAATTAACTAATTTCATGAAACAGAAAACTGAGTTTTGCAAAGATCCAAAACGACAGAAGTCAAGATATAAATAGTTAATGGAGGTCAAGAAGTAATATGAAATTCTAGGTGTTTTGATCATTCTTCTATACCTAGTATCAGTTATTCACTGAAAATCTTCCAACTATTAACCAATGAATATTTTCTGGTTGCCCATTTAGATCACCATTCTCTATTATACTCCTTAGGAAGCTATCTTTATTGCATTAACTGCAAAACCCTTCTCCCACTCTAGCTTTTAGTTGGATTTAGTCAATGGGCAGCACTGGAAAGAAATCAGAGAGAGAGAAGCAAAGTCCCTTCTTACTGGTTTTTGCAGCCATCATTCAGTTCAAAGTCATTGTTCCTATTATGTGGTTCTCTTCTATTATCTACTTTTTTTTTTTTTAAACAAGTTCTGCTGACAGCTCCCAGACCAAAAGCCCCTGTGATTGAGTACTGCAACATTCATTCTTTTTTTTCCCTTAAACCTCACCACACCTTTGGAAATAGTTTCTTTATTAAACGTTCCTCAATTACTTACTGCCCTATCCCTGCAATTCTCACTGATATACTTCTTAATTTAAAAGAGAAATTTTCAACTCCAAAAATTACAAGTTACAAGGCTTTCAACTCAGAGTAAAAGCAAAACTGAAAACAAGAAGGAAATGATGTTATAAATACCTGAATCTGGCAATGAGTTAAGATCTGCACATAGCACCAGCGGGATGGAATTAGGATCTGCAGTTGGGCTGCCAGGCCTACTTGAGGCTTTCTCCAAAATGTTTTTAACCTCTGAGACAAACATCATGGTCTGGATAAGTTTCACATCAGAATACTCTGGGTCCCAATGCATGTGGGCATTTGCCACTATAAGCAGCTGTTTGTCTGCAGCATGAATAGGCTTCATACCTAAATTTAAACATTATAAAAACAGATAAAGTTATGCCTTATGTCTCAGGATAAGTGGTATCTTAAAGTTTTCACAAAAAGATTCATAGCAGGGCTGGGGTTGTAGCTCAGTCGTAGAGTGCTTGCCTAACGTGTGAGGCACTGGGTTCGATTCCCGGCACCACATAAAAATAAAGGTCTGTCAACAACTAGTATCTTTTTAAAAAAAATTTTTTTTTAAAATCCATAACAGAGAAGAGGAGCAGCGTCCTGCTGAGAGGCTGAGCCGCCCCCTCCCCCTGCGCCGGCAAAGTAGAGGGAACTGTGACCAAGCACAGAGCAGGCCCAGCGGCCTGCTGAGGGGCAGAGCCGCACCCCACCCCCCGCGCCTGCCAGGTAGGTGGAACGGTGACCACGGACAGAGCTTCCAATCACTCCTGCAAGGTAGGCGGGCCTGCGACCCACCGGCAGAAGAGGAGCAGCGGCCTGCTGAGAGGCTGAGCCGCCCCCTCCCCCTGTGCCGGCAAGGTAGAGGGAACTGTGACCACGCACAGAGCAGGCCCAAAATCGACAGACCATTAGCCATGCTAGCGAAGAGAAGAAGAGAGAGAACTCAAATTACTAACATACGGGATGAAAGAGGCAATATCACAACAGACACTTCAGAAATACAGAAGATAATCAAAAATTATTTTGAATCCTTATACTCCAATAAATTAGAAGATAGTGAAGGCATAGATAAATTTCTTATGTCATATGATCTGCCCAGATTGAGTCAGGAGGATATAGACAACCTAAACAGACCAATATCAATTGAGGAAATAGAAGAAACCATCAAAAGACTACCAACTAAGAAAAGCCCAGGACCGGATGGGTATACAGCAGAGTTTTACAAAACCTTTAAAGAGGAACTAATACCAATACTTTTCAAGCTACTTCGGGAAATAGAAAAAGAGGGAGAACTTCCAAATTCATTCTACGAGGCCAACATCACCCTGATACCTAAACCAGACAAAGACACTTCAAAGAAAGAAAACTACAGACCAATATCTCTAATGAACCTAGATGCAAAAATCCTCAATAAAATTCTGGCCACTCAGATACAAAAACTTATCAAAAAAATTGTGCACCATGATCAAGTAGGATTCATCCCTGGGATGCAAGGCTGGTTCAATATACGGAAATCAATAAATGTTATTCACCACATCAATAGACTTAAAAATAAGAATCATATGATCATCTCGATATATGCGGAAAAAGCATTCGACAAAGTACAGCATCCCTTTATGTTCAAAAGTCTAGAAAAACTAGGGATAACAGGAACATACCTCAATATTGTAAAAGCAATCTATGCTAAGCCTCAGGCTAGCATCATTCTGAATGGAGAAAAATTGAAGGCATTCCCTCTAAAATCTGGAACAAGACAGGGATGCCCTCTCTCACCACTTCTGTTCAACATAGTTCTCGAAACACTGGCCAGAGCAATTAGACAGACGAAAGAAATTAAAGGCATCAAAATAGGAAAAGAAGAACTTAAATTATCACTATTTGCAGATGACATGATTCTATACCTAGCAGACCCAAAAGGGTCTACAAAGAAACTATTAGAGCTAATAAATGAATTCAGCAAAGTGGCAGGATATAAAATCAACACGCATAAATCAAAGGCATTCCTGTATATCAGCGACAAAGCCTCTGAAATGGAAATGAGGACAACCACTCCATTCACAATATCTTCAAAAAAAATAAAATACTTGGGAATCAACCTAACAAAAGAGGTGAAAGACTTATACAATGAAAACTACAGAACCCTAAAGAGAGAAATAGAAGAAGATCTTAGAAGATGGAAAAATATACCCTGTTCATGGATAGGCAGAACTAACATCATCAAAATGGCGATATTACCGAAAGTTCTCTATAGGTTTAATGCAATGCCAATCAAAATCCCAACGGCGTTTCTTGTAGAAATAGAGAAAGCAATCATGAAATTCATATGGAAAAACAAAAGACCCAGAATAGCAAAAACAATGCTAAGCAGGAAGTGTGAATCAGGCGGTATAGCGATACCAGACTTCAAACTATACTACAGAGCAATAGTAACAAAAACAGCATGGTAGGATTCCACCTCTTGGGTCCCCTTCTTCCTCCGGGAGAAGTCTTTTCTGCTGTCCTTTAATAAACTTCTAATTTCTACTCTGAAAAAAAAAAAAAAAAAAAAAAAACAGCATGGTACTGGTACCAAAACAGGCGGGTGGACCAATGGTACAGAATAGAGGACACAGAAACCAATCCACAAAACTACAACTATCTTATATTTGATAAAGGGGCTAAAAGCATGCAATGGAGGAAGGATAGCATCTTCAACAAATGGTGCTGGGAAAACTGGAAATCCATATGCAACAAAATGAAACTGAATCCCTTTCTCTCGCCATGCACAAAAGTTAATTCAAAATGGATGAAGGAGCTTGATATCAAATCAGAGACACGCCGTCTGATAGAAGAAAAAGTTGGCTACGATCTACATTCGGTGGGGTCGGGCTCCAAATTCCTCAATAGGACACCCATAGCACAAAAGTTAATAACTAGAATCAACAAATGGGACTTACTCAAACTAAAAAGTTTTTTCTCAGCAAAAGATACAATAAGAGAGGTAAATAGAGAGCCTACATCCTGGGAACAAATCTTTACTCCTCACACTTCAGATAGAGCCCTAATATCCAGAGTATACAAAGAACTCAAAAAATTAGACAATAAGATAACTAACAACCCAATCAACAAATGGGCCAAGGACCTGAACAGACACTTCTCAGAGGAGGACATACAATCAATCAACAAGTACATGAAAAAATGCTCACCATCTCTAGCAGTCAGAGAAATGCAAATCAAAACCACCCTAAGATACCATCTCACTCCAGTTAGATTGGCAGCCATTATGAAGTCAAACAACAACAAGTGCTGGCGAGGATGTGGGGAAAAGGGTACTCTTGTACATTGCTGGTGGGACTGCAAATTGGTGCAGCCAATTTGGAAAGCAGTATGGAGATTTCTTGGAAAGCTGGGAATGGAGCCACCATTTGACCCAGTTATTCCCCTTCTCGGTCTATTCCCTAAAGACCTAAAAAGAGCATGCTACAGGGACACTGCTACATCGATGTTCATAGCAGCACAATTCACAATAGCTAGACTGTGGAACCAACCTAGATGCCCTTCAATGGATGAATGGATAAAAAAAATGTGGCATTTATACACAATGGAGTATTACTCTGCATTAAAAAATGACAAAATCATAGAATTTACAGGGAAATGGATGGCATTAGAGCAGATTATGCTAAGTGAAGCTAGCCAATCCCTAAAAAACAAATGCCAAATGTCTTCTTTGATATAAGGAGAGTAACTAAGAACAGAGTAGGGTCGAAGAGCATGAGAAGAAGATTAACATTAAACAGGGATGAGAGGTGGGAGGGAAAGGGAGAGAGAAGGGAAAATGCATGGAAATGGAAGGAGACCCTCAGAGTTATACAAAAGTACATACAAGAGGAAGTGAGGGGAAGGGGAAAAATAATACAAGGGGGAGAAATGAATGTCAGTAGAGGGGGTAGAGAGAGAAGAGGGGAGGGGAGGGGAGGGGAGGGGAGGGGGGATAGTAGAGGATAGGAAAGGCAGCAGAATACAACAGACACTAGTATGGCAATATGTAAATCAATGGATGTGTAACTGATGTGATTCTGCAATCTGTATATGGAGTAAAAATGGGAGCTCATAACCCACTTGAATCAAATTGTGAAATATGATATATCAAGAACTATGTAATGTTTTGAACAGCCAACAATAAAAAATTAAAAAAATAAAAAAATAAAATCCATAACAATTTCTTTACTCTTTTCCAGGAATTTATACCTTCCCTTTTATTTCAATCTGGTTCTCAGAAGTCAAGGGGCTAAGATTCTGGTAATCCTAATATGGAAATTACTCTTCCAGATCGAGTTGACAAAGTAGCCCATAAGCTAAACATGGCCCCACATATGTTTCTGTGTAGCCCATGCGAGCTAAGGATGCTTATATATTTTTAAAAGGAAGGAAAGAAGGGTGAGAGTTGGAGAATCTGTGATTAAGACTTAGGTAGCCTATAGAGCCTACAATATTTATTATCTACTCCTTTACAGTAAAACTTTGCTGATCCTTGCATTTATCTAAATACCCAAGTTAGGAATTATATCATGACATAATCAACATTTGATTATAATGCCTTGCATTTGCTGAGTTCTTAGTTTAAACAAGCACTTTGAACTATCTGTTGATTAAATACAACAATAACTTAGTGAGGCAGGATTTCAGTTATTAAGTTACCTAGACTTTAATTGATCTTGCATTTCCTGATCAGTAATAAAAGACCACGTGATATTAAGCTCTACAAAGTAAGTTAATTTTCTACCTAAACAAATTTACTAACACACACCAGGATAAATGAGAATTGTGTTTCAGACCAGGCTTTATTACTAATTATTCTGTGTGGTCTTGGACTAGTTAGTTACCATTTTGGTATTCAGGTTCATTTGGAAAGTGAGAATTCAACTAAGGTTCTTTTTCCCCCATAAAAATCCTATTTTTTAATTCTGTCAAAATAAACACTAACATAGTTACTTTCCAAATGGTAGACAGGATAATATATTAAAAATTATAAAAGTTGCCAAGCGTGGTGGCACACATCTATAATCCCAGCGATTGGGAGGCTGAGGCAGGAGGATCAAGAGTTCAAAACCAGCCTCAGCAAAAGCGAAGCGCTAAGCAACTCAGTGAGATCTTGTCTCTAATGTTCACTACATAAAATATTAAAAATGTGCCCTTTGCTTATGGCAAAGGAGCTGTAAGCACTTTCTATATTATTAAATTCTTCTTCTAGGAATACAAAAGATACATATTTCAGGTACTTCAGTGAAAGTACCCACTGTATAGTCTGGAATTACTCTTCTCCAAGTTAAAAGGGGAGTAAAACTCCAAAATAAACTTGATTACTATCATATCAGAACAAAAGTACCAAAGGAGAAAAGTGATGGGAATGACATAAAAATAGATAAAATTTATAAAATGTATAACAATGAAGAGGGTCAAAAGAAAGAAAAGTCAAATCTCACAGTTTATCCTTCTCAATGAAGGGTACACTGAAGGATGATGGGGAAAGGAGGTTATGACACATACTCAGGGTCTGAATAATTCAAATCAAACTCAAACGTGAAAAAATCTTTTCTTCTGCAAAAAGTATAGGGAAAAGAAAAGTACTGAGGTAGCCTCACTTCCTTCTTGTTCTTCCTTAAAACAAAGGAGTAAACAATATAACACTTGGAGGCAGGCAATAGAAAAGGGTAAAAAGAGGTCTAGATAACACAAAGTACATAATGAATTTCTGATTCTGAAACCATCTATAAATAAGCTTAAAAGCTGAAGAACAGTTCTGCATAGATAAAAATCTGCTCTTACCCTAATAATGACTTGAGATATAACAAAAAAAAGAAAGAAAAAGAAAGAAAGAAAGAAAATGTGCCAAGTATTTAACCTTAAAAAACAAAGGGCTCACAGACAAGAAACTAAAAATATGGCTCAAAAGAGGGCCAAATCATTATAATTTCTAAATTCAGGCTAACCAAAACATTCTCTATTTCAAGGAACCTTTTGGAATTAATGGTATATTAAAAGACCTTACACAAATTACCTTATAGGTTAAAAAATAATAGTAATAATAATAATAATAACAACAGAGACCACAGAATCTCTCAAAAAAAAAAAATCCCAAGAAACAATGTTTCATAAATAAGTGGTGTTTTCCTGCCCATCTTCCTCAGCTTTCCTCAAAAGACAAGCAAATAACTTTGCAATAAGTAACAATAAGATCTCTTCACCTGCTTTAAGAAGAGTTGGAAAGATATTTATTAATAAGAATATTTTAAATTGCACTCACCTGCTCCAAATAGTTCTTTGTGGACCTCTAATACCACAGCAACACCAATGTTATCTTTCGTCATCACTCTGTTCAGCATAGCTTCGGATCCATCTGAATTAGCCATTGCCACTTGGTTAAATTCCACTGTATGCTTCTGCACCAATGTGAATCTAAAAGGCACAATGCAAATTTGTGATTTAGTTATTTAGACCATCCCACAAAAAGAAACTAAGTGAAGGGGGCATAAGACACAGATATCATTCGTCATCTCTGTCATTTACTAGTTTCAGTTCTGACCAATGAGACATAAGAAGTCTGATTTCTATAGAAATTTTCTTAGAGGCCCCACCTAGCAAAGATGGCTATATTCCTTCACCCATTTTACGTCTCTGCATTTTCCAGCTGGTGCCATGAACAATCAGCTGAACCAGTTCTGGTCTGCCTATTTCTAGACTATTTCTTATATGAAAAAATTATTCTTCCCTCATTTGCTTAACTTACTATTTAGATTTTCTCGTATTAAAAGGTACACATAATCTTAACTGTGTCAGTTAAGAATAAAATCTATCTACCTATTTGCAGTTTTATTTCCATCACATCAAGAGATTAGCCAAGAAATTCAAGGACACAACCTTTATCTCAGTTAACGATAACAGATTTTTCAATCATGCTTTTACTAAAAAGTTGTAACTGGGTTTAAGTGTTCAGAGAAACAGATTCATTCATAATATGAAGAAATGGCTCTCCCTACAATCATAGCTTCTACACTTGGAGTATTTTCTTTCCTTAGTTATTAAGTATGATGGAGTTGTAGGATTTGACAGAATTAGTCTTGTACTTATATTTAATAGCAGTGAACTTGGTCAAGCCATTTAACCTTGTTTAGCCCTTTTTCTTATAGATGTGAAATAAATACTTATAATGTCTCAAACTACTAAACATGCTACTTTTTCACTAGGTGTTAAGACATCTTTTGCTCTCCTAACTAAGCTTACTCCCTACCTTCTTCTTCTTAGCTTGAAAACAGAGCCACACACATACCCCTTCAAAAATAGGGACTAAAACTTACTATGCCACAGGATGCTGTATTAGAGGAAACAATATTCCCCCTTCCTGCTCCAATACTGAGCTTCAAATGTGCTTAGAAGTGTAAAGGATCCAGTCATGTGCCTTTTCTAACCCTGAGTTGAACTGAATTGTTAAAGGGAATACATTTTCACCCTTCTAAAGAAGTGATCTATAAGCTCAAATATGAAGAATGAAGAGTTATCAAGGTGAAGAATGGAATTAAGAGCACTCTGAATAGAAGGAAGGAGTAAAAGGTTCTGAGATAGCATACAGCTTTGTAATTTAATGGGTTAGAAAAGAATAAAAGGGTAAGAAATGATGTTGAAGATGAGAAGAACAGAAACAACTAAAAACTCCAAGCAAAGACATTTTCAGATCACAATAGCTGCTTTGTGGAGAATAGATTATAGGAACCAAAATGGAAATTAGGAATTAGGAAACCAGCTGCAAAAGTTTTGAGTTTATTTGGATGAAATGTGATGCCTCAGACCAAGGCAAGAGAAATGAAGAACAGTGAGCAGATTCAAAAAAACATTCGAGCAGGGTATGGAGGGGCACACCTGTAATCCCAGTGGCTCAGGAGGCTGAGGCAGGAGGATCACGAATTCAAATCTAGCCTCAGCAACTTGGTAAGCCCCTGAGCAACTCAGCAAGACAATGTCTCTAGATAAAATCTAAAAAAGGCCTGGCACTGTGGTTCAGTGGTAAAGTGTCCCTGGATTCAATCCCCAGTTAAAAAAAAAAAACATAAAAACAACCATTTGATAGACAGAATTAACCATTCTCCAAATCAGAGTGATTCATTTTTAAACAATTTATAGTGTGATTCCAAACAGACTAAAGCAATATTATGTTAGAGTAAATCAATCACTGAACACAATCAACCTGTTTTGAGGACTAGAAAAACTTGAAATTAAAGGGTATAGATGATAATCACAGTCTTATATCTGTCTCAGTATCCAACTGCTTTCTCCATTTTGTTTTGGTTACAAAGTAGTAATAAAAAACCTAATTGACATACACAGATACACAAAGTAAATAACTGGTCTTTCACACAGAAAAGCCAAGCCAAGAGGAAGGCAGAAACATGATCAACTTTTAAGACTGCATTACTGCTTGTACCAAGGCAACTCAATTAAGCAGCACATCAGGAACATGGCAGTGATTTCCAAAGTGTTAATATATAGTACCTGAAATATCTGAGTGAACATTTTAAAATTCAAGTGTAATTATTTAAATTTTGAAATATTTTCTAAATAGTCACAGAACTTTTAAGGCTTATTTTAGGAACCTAGAGTTTGACAAGACTGTCTTAAAATCCTGCTTAATAGTAATATTTTTATTATTAAAATAAATTTACTTCTATTAAAGTCAGATCATTCTTTCAGGGGAAGAAAGAGGGTATCAGAAGTCTTATTTTTAGAAAGGTCGTCATTAAAGTTTACTTCCCTGTATCTTCCTTTTTCTCCTTTAAACCTAGATTTAGATCTTCTCTTTAAAGAACTATAGAATATTTCATGTGACAGCACTTTAAATATATGACAAACATGTCAATGCTCACTACCCTCAAATTCTTTCCAGAAAAGATTGGTTCTTTACATAATAAATGGTGTTTTTATTTAAGCAAAAGTTTAAAGGCACATGCTATAGTTTGGATGCAGTTTAAACCCCAAGGGTTCACATGTTGAAGGCTTATCTCCAGTGTAGTGACAATGAGCTGTTGGAACCTTTAATAGATAGAACCTAGTAGGAGGTCAAAGGGACACAGCTCTCAAAAAGAGATTTAAGGTAGTTGTTCTGAAACCTTGGTTAGTTCTCTTGAAGAGCAATCCTAGCCACTCCCATCTCTAGATTTCAATCTCACCAGGTGATTTCTTCTTTCAGGCACTTTTGCCTTGAGGCTATCCTGCCAGAAGTCAGAACCAAGCTGATGGCAGTGCTATGCCCTTAAACCTCCAAAACTGCAAGCTAAATAAGTATCTTGTGAGTACCCAGCCTTAGGAAGTAACAGAAAACAGACTAATACAGTGCAGTACCTAGAACAATGCACAAATGAGTCTTCTTCATTTTTTATTGTATTTTTATTAAAAACTAAAATTGCCTTTGAAGACAGCCATATACTCCCAAATCAATTTTTTTAAAAAATAATGTTACTGTATTTTTCTACCTTTATTTTATTTATACATTTATATGTGGTGCTGAGGATCAAACCCAGTGCCTCACACATGCTAGGCAAGCGCTCTACCACTGAGCTACAATCCCAGCCCTCCAAATCAATTTTTATGACTACATTAGAGTCCCCTACACAGATTTACCATAAACTAGACTGGGTGCAGTGGTGCACACCTGCTGTCCCAGCTACATAGGAGGCTGATTTGGGTCTAGGATTTCAAGGCCAGTCTAGGCAACATAACTAAATAAACTAAACAAACAGATTCATTATAGATTATTTACCTACTCTATGTTGAACATTTAAGTTACTTTTGATATGAGCCAATGATGTAAGCTTTGCACATATTCTTCTGTATTCCCAGGTGATTTTTCAATCCCTCCTTTTCTTCTGTTAATGATGTAAGAGCAGCAAACTATCTCTTTTAAGTATCATTTCATGAGTATCCACTGATTATAGATTACCCACATTCAGATTATGTCAAGAGCACATTGAAACTTCATTCTTTTATTCTAACAGATTAAATATACTCACCAGCTTTTGGGCATTTTTAAATGTGATGTATATGCATTCTATTTTTCCTCAAATAATTAAAATTCTCAACAGAACAGGAAAAAATAACAATAAATAAAAGCTACCCATTATTGAGGGTCTACTCTATCAAAATCTGTGTTAAGTACTTTATGATGTTAGTTAGTCCTAAATTTTTCACATGGAGATATACTGCTCAGATTCTTCATCTACCCTTCAGGGAATTTGTCAGTTGTGTGCCCTCAAAATCATGTACTCAGTGAGCACAAACATCCAATGGAAAATCAAAAGCAAAAATAAAGGCAGGCATGGTGGTGCACTACCTATAATCCCAGCAGCTGGCTCAGAAGGCTGAGGCTGGAGAATTGCAAGTTCAAAGGCAGCCTCAGCAAAAGCAAAGCACTAAGCAACTCATTGAGACCCTGTCAATAAATAAAATATTAAATAGGGCTGGGGATATGGCAAAGTGGTCCAGTGCCTGAGTTCAATCCCTGGTACCCACCCACCCCCCACCCAAAAAAAAGCAAAAATAAAGATCTTGCAATTTTAGCCCATGTCCATGGTTTAATTCTCATAGGGCATATTAGCTTCAAAGCTCCTGGGGGATCATTTCCACGTCTCTAGATGTGAAATTCTGCTTCCTCCCTTTCTTTTCCACAAATGTTGATTCCTAATATACTCCAGAATGACAAATTATCTCAGAGTCTTCTTTCTGGAAACCCAAATTGTAATATGAGAAATTACTATTACCATTACAAAGATGAAGAAAATTGAGGCTAGGCAAATCTTTTTGCAAAATAAGATGGTTTATCTATCTCTAAAATCTCAGAACTTTTCCTATATTCCAATATTCATAACAGATCACCCATGCCAGTTTTCTAGACACACTTTTACAGGACCTTTAACATCATGGATATAATTATTTTCATTTAGAAACCTAACTAGTTAAAACAGTTTAATGACTCTTGGTTTACCAATCTTACCTTTTTGATTTTCCATTCTCCTCTTCACTGGTCTTAATCCTATTTTGAAGATAATGTTCCTTCAATAAGATCATGAAAGCAAAATAGAAACTGTATAGCTCTGGTTTTTCTCTCTTTTTTTTCCATATTTTTTTCTTTTTTAAAAGGGGAGTAGCTTTGTATCTTTCACAATAGACAGCTAGTTCTCATACATATTAACTGACTGAAATTTTTTTTAATGGTGACAGGGACATGGGTTACCAAAGCACAGAGTGTGTTTGGTGAATCTTTATTCTCATTATGTTTTCTGGACAGCCACACATGGATATGATCTATTCCTTTGGCTCAGACTTTATTGAGCCTGTTATCAATGTGTATATCTTAAACTCCCATCTCCTTCACGGCAAACTTCCTGATCTGAGTGTCCAAGTAGCATGCTGCTTGAAGCCCACTCCATGGATGTGCTTATGAATGCTGATGTTATATTCCTGAATCAAAACCTCAAGCGGCAGAAGGGCTGTTATTCTTCTTGCCACCATTTTTCTTTGCAGGTTCCACTCTGCTGGGCCCAGGTGGGAAAGGAAGAGCAGCTATTTTTCCTTATTCAATTAGTATTTACACAATCACAGTGGGTCTATCCCTTGTTATTTATACAGCATACTGAAACTTAAAATACCCTCCTTGTTGAGTGTTTTCCTCAGCACTTCTACCAAGTCTTTGGTTTTTCTTAATTTTCTTGGCAATGACTATAGTTTCTTAAAACTGTTTTTAAAAATATGCTTTTCTTCATTTAGAAAACAATTCTTTTAAAATGAATCCTGAATATGATTATTTGTTTTATTAGATATTTCCAACTTTCTTTGTTGGTATAATTTATGACAGTATTGCCATACTTCTAAAAGCTCGTAGTCTTCTTGAAGTATCTTCTTTTTATTGTCTTTGGTTTCAAGAAGTTCAGAAAAATAAAACTAGCTTTCCTAAACAACGTGATTATAATTAACACTCTCTTCTTTGACATTGAGAAACACTAAAGCAAAGTGTTTCTCAAATCTTTTCACTAGCTTCAGCATCTGTTCTCAGGTAGTTGAGAACTAAGGAACCAAAGACAGTTCCCTTTTTCTACTGAAAGTTAAATAAGAATTGAATATGATAATTGAACCTTAAGAATTTTTAGCTACTCTGCATTTCAGAAGAATGATTTCCAGTATTAATGGTGATAGCTATGATCTTGCACCATTTACCTTTTTTCTGTTTATTTTATGAAGAAATCATTTTGAAATACATAGGTCTTCTTTCATTGCTTCTATTAGATGCTTCTTTTTAAACATACATATTGGTTTATAGTTTTTTTTCTAATCACTAATCTAAATTCACCAAGCATTGGTAATATGAAAAATCTTAAACTTTTCTTTTAGTATTTAAATTCATTTATTATTTGTATTCTATGACTGGTATACAGATACCATAAGCATCATTACTGACACTTTTTTCCCTAAGAATTCTTCTGCCTTTTAGAAAAATTTAAACAAAACTCACATGGGTATAAGAAAGGACACAAAAACCTTCTCCCATGAAAAAGATTATTCAGTTGTGTATTCATATGCAGGAAGAATGTCCAAAACAAGCCTTCAGACAAAGAAATAACTCAATTTCTTACCAACTTGTGATTTAAAAGTAATTTGATTGGCTATCATGTGACTAAAGGGCTAGAGATGTGGCTCAGTGTTTAAGAAACCCTGGGTTCAATTCCCGGTACAAAAAAAAAAAAGACTTAAGTAATATTCCTTACCTATAAAAAGGAACGATGTTAACATAGTTAAGAAGACAGTATAACTGCCCATGAGTTGTCTCATACCCTCCTTTTCTGAATCACATCTATGTATTCTTAAACTAAACATAGTATAAAATACTATGAAAAATGTAACAAATGTCAAATTTAAAGCAATTTTCCCAAATGAGGTAAATCTTGAAAGAGATACATAATAATGGATGCGCAAACAAAAATGTCAAAAGAATTCTTTAGTATAGTGGTTAAAAGCATGGACTATAAGTTAGACTGCGGCGTAACCATGGACAAGTTACTGAACCAGGGCATGCCCTGGTATCCTCATCTATTAAAAAAAAAAACAGGGGGCTGGGGTTGTGGTTCAGTGGTAGAGCACCCACCTAGCATGGGTGAGGCCCTGGGTTCCACTGACCCTCAGTACCACATAAAAATAAATAAATAAAATATGTGTCCAACTAAAAAATAAATATTAAAAAAAAAAAACAGGAAATAGTTCTTTGCCTACCTCTGAGGAGTGCTCGCTTTAAAAATTAAATAAGACAATCTATATAGATAATTAGAAAAGACCTGGCCTATAGTAAACACTATGGAAAAAACAGTAACTCTTACTCTTAAAATTCAGTATACTCTAACCCCAAATATAGGGCCCAGTACTAAATATAAACCAAAATGAGATTATCTCCACTAAAAATTCATGGAAAAGACAGGAAATTATGTATATATAAATGAAAAGGGGAAAAATGAATAAAAAGTGTACCAAATATTTTTCAAATTCACTGAATTTATTTCCCTAAAATAGTATGTCATACTAGTAAGATATTATGTCAACAAAAGTATTGACTGGCTTTGTTATAATAGGGACCAAAAAGGGAAATAATGGAAATAATCACAAGCATATATATGTTTATTCTATAAGTAGATCTAATGTATCAACTCCCAATCAACCATCGGATTCAACATTTATCAGACTTCATGCAATTTCCACTGCCCTGTCTCAATTTATTCTTTTTAACTCCCCACTTCTATACGCTCAGAGCCTCTCCTCTGTCCAGCCTTACTGATCTATTCTTATCTCTCTTATGCATATTATAATTGTCCACTGTGCCTATCTCTTCTTACAAGATTTGAGCTTTCAGTGAAATCAGAAACTATGACTTGTCTATCTTTTTTGTCTATCATGCCTAGTATGGGACCTGGCACAAACAAATGCTCAGCAAACATTTAGTGAATAAATGAGTAAATAAACAATGATAATTCAAATGAGGAAAAGGTTGAAAAAAAAAAATCAATGATTCTGAAAAAGCCGACTATCAGAAAAGAAAAGAAACCCAGATAACTTATTGGTAATCTTAAAAGGCAACAATTTTCACTTGTCACAAAAACTTTTACTTTATAAAAATATATCTTCAAAAAATTATGAAACCATATTCAAGTCTACTTCTAAAATTTTCCATGTAATTTGACAATAAAAGCATAAAGAATAATACAATATACATCCCTGTTTCCAATATACAGTCTTTAAAAAAAACAAAAAAAAAAAAAAAAAAGCACTACCAACAGTTTTTAACTTCTGTAACATTTGTTTTTAGCTTTGTTTTTTAGGGTCAAACCAAAGTCAATTTTAAATGTGTAATAATTAAATAAATTTACACTGTTTTGCTGTTTCCTTAACTTACTTTTCTGTTTTGAAGAATATTGCACAACCATCCACATGCTTTCTCTCCTGCTCAGACATGATTTTGGCACGTGACTTTGGAGAAAAAAATCCATCATATCCACGCTCCTTCAGTGCTGGCAGAAAGAGAGTGAAGTATTGCTCTGTTTCCACTTCCTGAGATGAAAGAAAACTTATCTAAATGACACCGGGAAACACTGATTGGGACATAGGAATATTCAACATTATGAGTAAGGTATGATTAAGTTCAAACAGTTCACATAATGAATATTATCTATCTTACCTTATTGTTAACAGCTGCCAAGCTGTCATTTAGCAAGGGTAAAACATGAAAGAATCAGAAAGGTGGCATGATTTTCTTATGTTCACACAGCTAGTTAGTAACAGGAGTAGGATACATCCCAAGTCTCTAGACTTCCAATTTAGAGTTTATTCAAATATAATTCACTTTCTCAAGACCAAGTAAGCTGGACATATGATATAGATTAAGGTGGTAGGTAATAGAACATTTTATATAGAGAGGTAATTTTTTAAATTATTTATTTTAAAAATAAATAATGAACTATGGTGGGAAAGAATGATACCCAAGATTGAGAAACATAAAATCAAGAAAAAAAATCTACTTTTTATAAATGTTTAGGTACCTGAATATCAGTTATTCAATCAATGGTCTCAAATAATTTCGATCACTCTTTCATCATATTTTTAACAAATCTTTCCAAATAATCAAATATGAAGAGAATTTATGTTTGAAGATGCTCATAATAGCATGATTTTATAACAGCAAAAACTTACAAACTAGTAAATGCCCAATAGAAGGAAAAAAGTTAAATCAATTAATATATGTTCATATAATTAACTGGTTTTGAAGAATGTTAGTTAACATGGAAAATGCATTAAATACAATTATCAAGAAACAAAATATGCCAATAACCAATTTTATTTTGAAAATATACAGGTAAATATAAGTTGGTAAGGGAATGTGTAGAAGAAAAATAGAAGTTTTAGCATAGCCACTATCTTTGGGGATATGGGAACAGGGTCTTCTTGCAACATGTTTTATATTTTTTCAAAATTTTCAACTTTTCTAGAATGAACACTATCAGACAGTTATTATTTCTATAACAGAAAAAAAAGTCATCTTAAATTATGATGAATCATTCTTCAAACTATACATTATTTAGAAGGATGTGAGGCTGTTATTACTATAAATACTAAACCAAAAGGTAAACAGTTCAATAACTAAAATAGCCTAATTTTATTTGTTTCCTCCTGCCCCCCAATTCTGTGTCCCTCTCAGTGTTCATAAGGAAATTTAATTTTTATAGATTTTTAAACTTTATTTCTCAAGCAACATTAAAAAATCATTAACATACTCTATTACAAAAAAAAAAATACGTAAAAGTACCAGGGCATGGTGGTACAGGCCTGCAATCCCAGCTACTCTGGAGATTCAAACATGAGGATCACAAATTCAAGATCAGCCTAGGCAACTCAACAACACCCTGCTCCAAATAAAATTTAAAAGGGGACAACTCAGTACTTGAGTGCTTGCCTAGCATGCACAGGTCCTAGTTCAGTCCCCAATTTACCCTCTGCCCAACACACACAGAGAAAAAAAATATATATATATATACACACATGCATATATTTATTTATAAGTAATCATTTTTCTTATTAGGATATGCCAAAACAGAATGTATTTTTTTGAAACACCTTTAAGAAATGGTATTTGAGGTAACAGACAAGTTACTTTGCCTGATTTGATCATTCCACAGTAGAAATACATGTATCAGGAGCTGGGATTGTGGCTCAGTGGTAGAGCGCTTGCCTAGCATGTGTGAGGCAATGGTTCAATTCTCAGCATCGCATATAAATACATGAACAAAATAAAGGCCCATTAAAAAAATACATGTATCAAAATATCCCACTATATCCCATTCAAATACACAATTATTATCAATAAAAAATATTAAATACATTTTCAAGCACTTAAAGTGCTTTGGAAGTTACTAAGAAAAAAAATAAACGAAATCTACTCAAATGTTTTTGGCTAATCATTAGCTAAGTGTTGAGAAGAAGAACACAGAACATATTTCATTAAAAACACATTTCTTGGGGCTGGGGTTGTGGCTTAGCGGTAGAGCGCTCGCCTAGCACATGTAAGACGCTGGGTTCGATCCTCAGCACCACATAAAAATAAATTAAATAAAGGTATTATGTCCAACTACAACTAAAAAATTTTTTTTAAAAACCACATTTCTTCTTCATTTAAATTCATTAATAATGAAGTGTTATTGAATAGAAGACACTTAAGGTCTCCCTCTCCAATTCAAGGGTATGCAACTTCAACTACTGGGCCTTTTATGAGTCAGTCCTTTCATCAGTATTTTACTCCCTTGGAGACCTAAGGCCTTAAGAGGAAGCAAGAAGAATTTCTAAAATTATGTTCAGTGTTTCAAAAAGTCCAGCAGACATTATACATTTCCTAAAATAAAACTGCATGAATTAAGGGGTGGGGGGAAGAATATCAATTTCAGTGGTGGTTTATAAAGTAAGGTAAAAAGTAGGATTTATAGTATAATATCTTTAAATGGTTATCTTTAAAGAAAAACTGTGGGCAAGCATTTTTTTTTCTAGACTCTATTAATATACATTAAATTTATAGTTCTGAAAAACTGATAATCTTCTGTAGATTTTTCTTTCAGCAATACCAATGATTTCTTCATAAGGTAAATTGTTAAAATGGACAATGGGTAAGACTTCAAAAATAGTAAATGAATACAAGTGCATAGCTGTACTGAACAAAATAGTTTCCCTGTGGAGATCTCTTAAATGCTTATTAAAATTAACCTTTTTGTTTTTTTAAAGACAAGGAGATAAAATAATTCCTTTAGAGTTTTGCTTTGAACACAGAATCCCAGAAGAGGATCTTCTTTTGTTTTTAAGTTCACCTTTAAGTTAAAGACAACTTAATTTCTAGTGTTACCTGAAGACTAATGATATCTGCGTCACAGTTAACAATTTCTTCCATAATTCCCTTTTTCCTGTATTCCCAGTTTAATGCCCAGGAAGGGCAATAGCCATATAGCTGCCGGGTAGCGTATTTATCACATAACACATTGTAACACATAACTGTGAATGATGCTAAGAAGTGGGAGAAAAAAACAGACAAAAGGGAGATGATTAGGCAACTTCTTCTAAAGCAATATCATATACACACATGAATAGTTACATACACATACCCCAAATATCATCATTGTAAAATGCCCAGGGGAGGAGTAAGATTTTGTTAAACTATATCTCCTAAAACTTCATTGGAATCCATCATACCATAGTTCATTTATTCATCTAGAATTAGATCATTGATGTTAACAATTGAGATTGAGAAACTTTAAATTAAAATATCAAATTTTAAGTCACTATTAATTTTTTGCATGTAATTTGCTTAGAAATTTTTTGTAGAACAAAGTTAAATTTTGGTTTCATTCTAATTAACAGTCTCTAATTTCATTACTTCATATTACCAAAATATCCATTCTTTTTCCTGGGCCTTTTAATGTTCTCTGAACCAGAAAAGTGTAGACCAATAAAGTTTAGTTATCAGAGTAACCTTTTTACCCAATGTTCATTTCTGAAATAAAATTCTCATTTTTGAAAATGTCCTTGAACTATAAAAAGACTATAAGCAGCCAGACATATGGTGCATACCTACAATCCCAGAGGTTCAGGAGGCTGAAGCAGGAGGATAGTGAGTTCAAAGCTAGACTCCACAACTTAGTGAGACCCTAAGCAACTTAGTGAGATCCTATCTCTAAACAAAATATAAAAATGGCCAGAGAGGTAGCTCAGTGGTTAAGTGCCCCTGCGTTCAATCCCTGGTACAAAAAATTAAACAAAGAAAAGGACTGTAAAGAAACTAACAGCCTGTAGAAGATGGTTTGTATCCTTGTTACTAAATTGTTCTCTAAGGTCCAGCAGTATCAGTGATTACCTAGTACCTCAGAAATGCAAAATCTGTGACCCCACAAATAACCTGCTGAACAATCCAAGAGATCCATAAGCACACAATGTTAAAGTCTTAGCAGTCCTAAGTTTTATAATTTTCTATCCTAGATGCCCATTAGAATTACTTTGTAGAGCTTAAAAGAGGGGGGAAATGCTGATATCTAGAGTGTGACTCCAGACTAAGTCAGAATATTAGGTTCCTAGTATTTATATTTTTAAAAGTCATACCAGGTTTTTATAATGAGCAGATATGGTGAAGAATCCAAGATAAAGTAATACGTAATTGAGGCTGGTTCCATTTCAGAGGATAGAAAAGGTATGAAGAAAAATTCAGATAAATGATCCTCCAGGTATCTAATAGTCATTTTGTATACTGAGGGCTAAATTTCAATTTGACTTATTTGTATTCTCTTATCATCTATCTTTGAAATAGCCTAGAACCATTTCCAAATCACTATATATTGTAAAGTGAGTACCCTGAGTTTACCTTACTCTGCTTCTCTGGGTTTGAAATGTCTTTTGGAAATAAGAAGAAGCAAGACAGACTTTTATTCACTCATTTTGTTTCTAAGACTTTTGTGAAGTGAGATTGTTTTATAGAAAAAGTCATAAATTTTAATTCCTATAAAATATCCAATATTCTTTATATTAGTAGTATGCCTATAGTTTTTAAACACAACTAAAAATTATTTAATTACTATCTGGTACCTTTCTACAATGTTAGTTTAGTTTATCATAATAAATCACTATTACTTGTCATCACTTATTATATACATCCCCTTATGCATCAGTAATTAAAGAAAGGCTAGAATTGTTAGTATCTTTTGTAAGCACTTAAGAGTCTCAGGGAAACACCATGAACCTGAACCCCCCCCCCCACACACACACACACACAAATCCATACTAATTTTTCAAAAGAGAAAATCCCAAGAATACATTACTTTGAGAATTCAGCAACTATGCAAACTTATTTCTGCTGTTCTTTTTCCTTCAAAGAAATATAGCTATGTGATATTAGGAAAAGCATTTCTTCAAAATTACATCCACTCATATTCAAAGGGAAATTACTCTGAAGAACTAGAAAATAGTGTTTTTAGTATTAGAAAGCTTATGATTAATTACACACTAGGGAAGACCAAGTATAAAATAAAAGGCTTTGTAGAAAGCCTTGGTGTTCCTTTTACTTAGACCATCAATGTGTGTCATGATAAGGAATAACTGTTATTCATGATAACAATGACACAGTGCCCTTTCTGACAGGTTGAAACTATGGTTCTAGTGTGTGGTGATTTTAGAAGTATTACCCTAGGCATACACAAAACTATATTGTATATTATATTTCTCAGAGTTATTAAAATGCAAATAGAAACATGAAGGTTACACTTTCCACATTTCCCAATACTAAATAAAATGAATACTAAATCAAATGTTTTGTTCTGAATCTTTAAAAAAAGCCAAAAATTCATAAGCAGAAGGGCTTTTATATTATTCAACATGTCAATAATATATTCTAACTGTGATTTACCCTTTAAAAATTATTAAAGTAGCAGTAGCAGTATTCAATGACTGGTTTATTCTTATATCGAAACAGTGGAAATCTTCATTTAATTTTAAGTTAAAATTAATATGAGAATTATTACTTGTGATGAAACGAGTCATTGGAAGAAACCATAATTTATAATTTTATTTCAAGTAGAACTCCCAACCCCCAAAATGTTTCATCTGTCATATGAGCATTTTATAAGTGAAATTCTATAAATGAAGTTCTATAAAATGCTACTGGTCCATACAGAGAAACAAAGGTTTATATTTTCTATATTATTACTATTCTAGACATGCTAAATTATACCCTTAAATTACACAAATACTTACCCTGTACTATATTTCTACAACCCTAGACCAGTATATTTTATTACCAGTTCCATCAAGTTAATTTATCATTAAGATATAGGTCTACCTTCCAGGAGTTGCATCTCTGTGAAAGATACAAAATAACTTGTGCATAAGCCTATCTTAATATGGATTTTAAATATTCTTAAATTCATCTAACCATGGAAGGTAAAATGAGGCCTGTTAACTAGAGACTGTGAAGCCTAAATGGTATTTCAAGTATCTCTGAAAAGAGTCAAATAAGAATGAGAAACTACCTGATGGCAGAATTTGGTCTCGTTCTTTTAATGTAATCCATGGCCTCGGAGGAAGCTGCTCTGGATGAACTAGGGAAAAAAAAAAAAAAAATTGTAAGCATAAGTTAATTTCATGTGTTTCTAAAATCAGTGTCACTTAATTTATAAGGAAAAATCAACTTGGTTTCTATTCAGCTGTAATGGTCCACAAACTGACTTAAAAATCCAATGCTGAAATTTAATGAGGATTTAGAAACCAAAGGAAATTTAAGAAGAGCTATGAAGAGAACATAAAACATCAGAAAAGGACATTAGGAAACTCATTAATGGTATTTTCACTTGCACTTTATGAAAGGTACCTATTTAAAACCTTAAGTAAAATCTTACTGTCTTAATTACATATGTAAATTGTGTTGAGTCAGCCTTGTTTCCTGCCAGGAAATCAAAGCCATATAAAATTGTAACAGGCTGACAAATTAAAATGTTCAAACATCTTTAAAACAGGGGAAGGTAGGGGGAAGGCCGCACTTGAATGTATAATAAAAATTGAATTTTCTAGTTCTTTTTTTTTTTTTTTTTTTAACTTCCTGGTCTTACTTTATCTCTTTTATAATGTCAGTGCAAAGCAAAAGGTTAGAATTGCAATGGTCCAAAAAAAAAAAAAAAAAAGGAAGGCAGTAGTTAAACATTAAATTGCTCAGATATGGTTATCAATACCATGAACTAAAACTAGCCAATTACTATGTGAAAGAAAATAACTAAGATTTAACAACCTCCTTTTCTTCTTCTTTTTGAAAATCTTTGCAATTACATAACAAATCATTCAAGTCTGCAGATTTGTCTAAGGTATTAGTAGCTGAGAAATGTACTCCTTTAAAACAAAATCACTCCATTTTCATTCAGCTCTGGAAATTCTGACAAAAGTAACCCAGACCTTTAAGAGTGTCACTTTACTGATCATTCTGGTGCTCCAAATATCTATTTAAAGAATACTACTCTGTTTTAGCAACCACACTTTTTAGAGTAGAATGAACATTATTTCACATATTCCACATCTTGGCAGAAAGAAAGAAAAGTTATCATAACAAATCATCCAGCTAGTTCAATATATTCAATCCTAGAAAATAATCATGCCTACTGGAAGTACCATTCCAGAATCATAGCAACTTGTCTCAAAAAAGCATTCTACAAATAGAATAAGAGTAAACAAAGAACATTCTAGCACTTGAGATCCTTAATAGCAAAATCTACCTAAGCTGTTGTGGGTAAAAAATCTAGAAATCAAGCTTCTTAAAATAAAACAAGTAATTAATGTCAACATTTTGGTGCTTTCCAAATCTTAACTAAAACTATATATCAGTCTAAGTAGTTCATCAACAACATTGAAAGAGCCAACATTCAATCTCACTAGTAACCAGGAAAATTTAAAAGATAAGGCAGTATATGTCTACCCAATTGACAAAACAATTTCAAATTTAATAATATCCAGGATTTGTGATAATGTAATAGCTACCTGAATATTTAGCTGGTAAGAATATAAACTAGAACAATTATCTACGGAACAAATTGGTATCATCTTATAAAACTTAAAGCATTCATGTTCCTATGAACTAGAAATTTTATTTCCTGGATTCAGTCCTATCTGCTTAAAGCAGCATTCAAAAAAATATGAATTACCCTATTGTTTTATAATAACAAAAGCAGAGGTAAACAGCTAACTAATATCCATTTTTAAGAAAGACTTTACCAGTTAGAAGAAAAACTGAGACACTTATATGTGTAAAGACATCCAAGGAATCCTACTAAGAAAAAAAGTAGCAAAATGTATAAGGATTGAATATGATAGTTTATTAGAAAATATAAAATCATATTCAAAAAAAAGTTACAGTACAAAATTTCTCCTGATATAATTTTTGCATGTAAATGGCTGCCCAAAAAGTACAAGGAAACAGACCCAACTTTTAAATGTGATAACCTACACAGAGGAACTGGAATTAAAGGTAGAAACCAAAGGAAATTTTAGCTTTAACAGGAATTTTAACATATTTTACAAGAAGAATCAGATATTGGTGTCAGATAAAGTTAATTGTTTAAAGGTAAAACTGCATGGTCAATGATATGACAAAAGAAAGGAATAGAGAGAAGTGTGAGCTAATATCACATAAAATAAATAAATAAACTGGTGACCATCCAGTCTGCCAAAGGCAACATCCCCAGCAAAACCTGACTACCACTTCATCCCACCCACACCTCACAGTGGCTGGCAGCATTGGGCCTAGGTCTGTCTGTAGTGATGACGTCAACTGAGCCTGAAAAAGGACAAGAGAATTACATGCAAAATCTCAACAGGAAATTTGTCAGTTAAAACGGAAGATTGAGAAAGAATCAAGGGCCCCTCAACAATTTTTATAAGTAAAAACAAATTCCCTTGAAACAAATGAAAAAATAGAAAAACCCAGGCAAAGAAGTTATTGGGGGTGGGGGGGGGAGCGTTAAAATAGAATTTATCAAACTGAAAAATAACCAAAATTTTAAAGATATTAGAAGAGCATAGTTGTAGAGGTAACAAAAGATAAAACCAGTGACTGCAAATAAGTTAATGACACTCAATCAGAACAAAAAAGAAAAAAAGACTTTCAACAGAACCTGAAGGACTTATGAAACTGTATAACCAAAGATCTACATTCATATCATCAGAGTTCTAGAAGAAAAAGGATGTGGGGATGAAGAAAGTATTCTAAGAGATAAAGGATAAAAGTTTCCAGATTTGTGTTAGAAACAAACCTACAAATCCAAAAAGGTGAATAACCTCAAAGAAATCCATACCAAAACAGACTAAACTTCTGTAAACCAAAGAAAATAACTGTCAACTGCAAATTCTGTAACCAGCAAAACTATCATTTAAAAGTCAAGGGAAATAAAGATTTTAACAGACAAAGGAAAATTAAGAGAGGGATCACTTACAGAACTACTCATAAATAATAACTAAAGGAAGCTCTCTAAACAGGAAGAAAAATACAACAGAAGAAACAAAACATCAAAAAGGAAAAAAAAAGGAATGGGTAAAATTAGGGATAAATACTATAGACTTTCCCTATCAGCTTCTTAAATCATATATAATAGCTAAAGCAAAAAATTATAACAATAACTATTCTGGTGCTCAGTGCAAGTATCTAGCATTTACTAAAAATGAAAATTAAAAGAGCAAATCTTAGTTGATTAAAAAACATGACAACTATATGCTGATTACAAAAAATCTCTCAAATACAACAAAGAAAAGTTGGAAATAAAAGAATGAAAAATTATATGCTATAATAACATTAATTGTTAAAAACCCGAAATGGCTACATGTTTCAAAGCAAATGCAAGAAACACAAAAAGTAATTCGTTACATATTGAGAAAATAACCAATCCACTAAGATATAGCAATCCTAAATATGTATGTACTAATCAACAGAGCTTCAAAATACCTAAAACAAAAACTGACAAAGAAAAAAAAAATCCACCTTTTTTTTAGTTGTGGATAGACATACATACATTTGTTATTTATTTATTTGTTTATTTGTTTATTTATGGTGCTGAGGCTCAAAATCCTGGTGCCTCACACATGCTAGGTAAATGCTCTACCACTGAGTCACAATCCCAACCCCTATAATGGGCAACTTTAACATCCCCAAATCACCATTTGAAAGGACTACTAGATAGTAAAATTAAAAATGAGAAGAATTGACCACCATCACCAAGATAATCTAACTTTTATTTATAGACAATTCCACTCAACCACTGCAGAACATTTATATTTATCCAGAGCCTGTGGAATATTCATCAAGATGGACAGTATCCTGTATCATAACACAAATTTCAACATATCAGAGAAATTTTTCAACTAGTTGCAAGCTGGAATCAAAACAATAATCAACTGAAAGACAACAGGAATATTTTTTAAAACACGTGTGATTTAAATAACACATTTCTAAACAATTCATCAATCAAAGAGGCAGTCTCAAAGGAAATTGAATGTAACTATATATATAGCATACCAAAATTTTGTGGGGTACAGATAAAGTAGTTTTTGATAGGGTAATTCACAGTGCTACATGCTTACATTTAAAAAGAGGGATGATTTCAAACCAATAATAGAAATTTCTACCTCAAACTAGAAAAATAGTGAAAAAAAAAAAAAAACCCAAAGCAAAGATGAAAAAAAGGTTAAGATACGTAAAAGTCAAATAAACAAAAATATACAATGCCAATCTGAAGCAAAGGAGAACACATGTAGAAATATTTTCATGTAGTTATGTTAGTGTCAAAATAAATTTCAAAGAAAAGTACAGCACAATGACAAAAGATTTAAATAACTATGAATACGAAATACATTTAAAAAACCTTTATTACATGTCATTTAAAAGTTAAAAGAATAGGAATAGCAAACAGTTTTTATAAATATGTCAAAATACACTGTAATGTATATATAAAAAGAATAAAAAAATTAAATGAATGATCTCTACAATGAAAAAGATTTTAACATAACATTAAAAGAGCAAGTCTTAGTTGATTAAAAAACATGACAACTATATATGCCAGTAATGAATAAGACCAAAGAAATCATTAAATATATGTAAAACATGTTCAAATCATACAATTAACGAATTTAAACCAGTATATATAAAATTTTGTAATAAACAACCACAGTATGCTTTTCAAGTATAAATTTAATATTTATCTTTTTTTTGCGTGAGGGTGAGGGATACTGGGGATTAAACCAGGGGTGCTTTACCACTAAGTTACATACATCCCCAGCGATTTCTATTTTGAAATAGGTTTTCATGAACTTCCTGAGGCTGACTTCAAACTTGCAATCTTCCAGCCTCAGCTCCCAATTTAAAACAGAGTACATGTACCACAATGCCTGGCTTGACATTTAACATTTAGAAAAATTAAGAATGTGCTGGGTAATAAATTATACATTCTTTTAACTGTAAATCACTTGGAGTAAGTTCTCTGACCACAAAAGAACAAAGAAAACTAAAACTCCCTTGAAAACTCAGAAATAAGTTTCTAAATGACTCATAGGTCAAAGCAGATATGAT